GTTTTGAGGGAGGAGGGGGGAAATTGAACTGTCTCCGTGCCGCTGTGAAGCAACGTCTGTGTGAAATCGGTAATCGCTGCCTCTGCAGTCTCTGCTTGGAATGTGGGTGAAATATCGTGTTCCTCTTGCAGGAGTCTAATGGTTTTATTTCACTGAAGCAACGTTCAGAATTGTTCATTTATGCACTAGTGTTGGGTAGTAACTACGTAATTTATTAGAAATATGAGGAACTGAGTCATTTATACAACGCAGTTTGTCCTTGGGGTGAGTGATGTGCCTCAGGCTGGCCGGGAGGGTGTTCAGTTGTATGTTGTTTCCTCATGGAAACAGCAAAATTGAGACCACCACTGCGATTTCCATCACGTAGTCTGGATGTAGATGTGAACTGTTGTTTATGTCTCACTGCAGCTTTGTTAGTGACTTACACCAAAACGTTACCAACAGCGCATTTGAGCTGTTAACTGTATCACGGGCTTGTCTTCATTTACGCATTTTACTGGTAATGATGTTAGTATTAAAAATAGGCCAGTTTGTTCGAGCAGCGCTGCTGGGCTGGAACAATAGCACAGCCCTGCAGAAGCCTGTCTGGGGCTCAGGGCAGGGGGAGAGGCTGTTACGGGAATAGTGGGAAACACGTTTCTGTTATTTGATCCTGAAACTTGACTGGTGTACGCTATTTTAGCCTATACTTAAATAATCTAATGCCATTTTTCTTGTACAGATTAAAAAGCCCCCTCATCTTATTTGTTCTGACTTGCATAGTGTTTATACTGTTTCTATTCATCCTGGAACAGTTTGGAATGTTAAGCTGTGTGGGGGGCATCCTTTCCTGTTTAAGCAATAGATGAACCACTGCAAATGCTCACATGTTGACTACGTCACTGAAGTACTATTTCTGAGAAAAAATTGTATGCCAAGTTCTGGCTATTCAGTTGGTGAAAGAGAAATTACAGCGAGTGAGAAGTTGAATACGAGAGTGGTGGTGGGGTTTTTTGGTTTGATGTTGGTTGGGTTTTTTTTTTAGTAAACGTTAATGTCAAACCACCAACAATAGGAAGAGCAAGTAAGCAAACATTATAGGCTTTTTAAGTTAATGCTGAAACTTTCACTTTGTTCTGTGCTTTAAAACTAAACTACATGATATGCGTATATAAATGTAGATTTTCTGTTAGCAGTTCTTCTGTGGCTGACATGGAATTAATGTGCATATATGTCTTGCCCCAGCACAAGCATTGCTTGTAGGACCTTGTTTTTCAGTGCCAAATGTTTGAGAGAGGACAAGAAACTAAAACCTACAGTACAAGTCAGCCCTTTGCAGAGCGCAGGGAAGCTTCTGTGTGACTCTGAAGTGGTTCTGTCCTGCACTAGTGTTTCTTCAGTGCTTCCATAAACAAGGGCTTTGCATTTGTTTCTCAGTTTGTATTTCTTCGCTAGAAGTGGCATGCATGGAAATATTTAGACAGCCACAAATATTGAAGTGCAATATTGAGTAATACTTCCTAGGCTTTCAAACTTTTTCAATTGTAATTTAGATGATCTGTAATTGCTATTTAGACTTTTTTAAAGTAAAAAAAAAAAAGAAAGTTTTTGATATTTTTGCAGCCAAAGCACAGCCTCATTAAACTAGGGAGCCTGAAGTACTTGCAGTCAATCAGAGAAATAATTATCACTTCTTAATTTAGCTTCAGGTAAACTTTCTTGTACAAGAAACTCAATTTATTTTTGGTTAGAAAAAAGTGGTTTGACTACACTGCATGTATTGGTCACTATGCAAAATGTTAAACAGAGGAAAATAGTGTTTGTAGGACTATGTTGCCTTAATAATTATGTTGCAGCATGTTATCAGTGTAGGTCTTCAAAGGATAACTGATATCTTTTAGTGAATAAGCCCTTTCCTACCTAATCCCCCCGCACCAAATGACATGCACCTCTACATGCCAAACTTGTAACATGAGAACAATATTGTTCTGTTTTGCACAGTTAAGTTCGTTGGAAAATATTGAGTCTGCTCCAGTCCTTGGGTCTGCTCCAACCCCCTGGGGTGGTTTATCCCACTTCTTTTTTTTTTTAATTTTTTTTTTTATTTATTTATTTTAGGCTGAGCCTGGAAATCTGATTGTTAGAGACACCCAGGTGTTAAAAAAATCATCTTAAATTAAACTTCTGTATCACCGTAACAATACAGACAAACTGTCTGTGAGGTAGTGTTTTTTTAGTGCTCTTATACTGATTGAACAAACAAGGAGATAAATGTGCACACAGGTCTGCTAAATTCTGAGCTTTAACGTTCAATAAACCTTGATTAGAATTGTTTTTATTATGTCAGTGTCTCCATAAAGGGAATTAAAAGATCTATTAAAAGAATTAAAAGATTCCCCTGTATCAACAATCTATCTGTAAGCTGTTCATAGGCTGAAGTACATGAGTTAAGATATGCTACAGAAAGCAAAATTATTTGTTTATTCTGAGTAGCAGTTAAGTTCCCCCTTACAAATTCATGTACTAATTTGGCAGTTTTTTTCCTGGCTGGTAGAACATTTGAACTTGGTTCTTCTGTATGTCTGGTAAAATTGAGCAGGCAGTCGTTGTTCTGTACTCCTGTTTGTTGCAGTGGACATTGGCAAACTTGTAGAGACCTGTTTTAAAGAATTACATTTGAGAAATTACCTCCTGCTTTTTTTCCTCCACTGTCGTGCTTCAACATGACTTGACTCTAAAGTGTGTTAATCTCTTTCAGATCTCTGTTTAAACTTGCTTTGATTTCTGTTTTCAGTCTTAAACCTAATCAAAGCAATAGAGTGTATTTGTTACTATAAAAGATCTCGAAAGATCTTGGCTTTAAGTGAAGGTAATGAGGTTTGTAATTCATCAGCATCACATTTTTTATTTGCTCAGAGTAAGACTTTTGTCATTTTTCATGTAAGTGTGGGCTTTCCAGATTTTCTCATCTTGTTTTAAATTGTCTTATGCTGGGGGAACATACTGCTCCTGACTGCTTAGCTGATCAGGAGAAGCACTAGAGTCTCTCAAACTCTTCAGCTGCAGTCAGCTTTTGACTGGCTGTGATAGGTTATTTGCATTTTGAATTAACTAGGTCCTTCTGTAACCACCCAGCCTTGTCTCCATCGGTGTGGTGGTGTGGTACAAATGCATCTGTTTTGTTTCGGGCTATATTGTGCCTGCTGTTTAAAACTGCTCCTGCTCTCTAAAGGAGTTGCTTTCAAATGCTTCTGAAGGTGAATGTATTCAGAATGTACTGAGCTTTAACTCATACTTTTTTGTTTGTTTGTTTGTTTTAAATAAATGAAGGAAGCAAAACTGGGAATGTCTGACTGATTTGACTGGGGATATTTGAGAGCGCCTAAGAGAAATTATATTTCTATTCTAATTCACCCTTGCTATAGTGCTTGCTGCTTTGCCCTACTCTCTTCCTTACAGTCTGGGCAAAAGTTTGTAGTACAAAGCAGTCACAACAGCTGTACATTTCAAGCTTGATTTCTAAGAACTGCATAAAGAAAAAGCTTGGTGGGTGATTCACAGCTGAACCTGTTTTTATATTTAAATACAATTGTATAAAAGTACAGATGTGAATTTGAAGAGGTATCTCTGAAGACAAAATGTGAGTTAAGTTTTTTCTTCATTGGGCAGGAATTTTGTCATAATTTGAAATGATCTGAAATATGTGTCTTTTGTTTTTCCAGGTTCCTGTTGCATGTAAATCATGTCCCTGTGGCTACATATTTATTAGTCGAAAACTCTTGCATGCTAAACGTGCTGAGAGATCGCCACCCATTACAGGTAATACTTACAAAGATGGGAAGAAAGGGACAACAGTTCTTTCTGTTTTACTTCTCTGTGTAAATTGACTGTTGTCAGTTCATTTTCCCTTGAATTTGTGCATGGTAAACATTTAATGTGTTACTTTTTATTGAATTTTGAGGCGAGGGAAAAGCTGATGTTTTCAGTCTTACTTCCTTTGTACTTGTGATGTTGGCATTTATTCTGTGTATATTCTAGCTGCACATATTGGTCACTATGCAAAGTAACACCCTACAGAAAGCTTTCTGTTAATCCTATTTTGAAACTAAATGTATGGAGGTGCCAAAGGGATTAGATTTTAGAGTACGTGCTGATTGAGGCTGGGTTTTCTGAAAGTAAAAATCCTCTTTTTTTGTGAAGAAGTTATGCTGAATTGTGCTTATTCATGAACACCTGAATGGCACTTTGTATAAAATTGATTGTATGTTTGATATAAAACCAGGTGGGTCTTCCATTTCTCTGCATGATTAAATTAAAAAAATAGTGTAATTTTTTTGTCTAATTTGTGTGTCTTTTGTTGTTGATGGGCACATTAAGAAGTTAGTTGAACATGCATTCTGGCATGATTAATGTTCTCTTTGTGTTCTTTTTTATCACTTCCTCCAGTCCTAATAGGAATTAGTCACAACAAGCACCTGTCAGGGAATTTTTTTTTTTAAGTATCTGATTTATATTGTCTACTTTTTAAAATTACCTACCAAGTCTACAAAATGGAAACTAAGTATTTGATATTTATATCATTATTTTGAAGGATACTTGTCATTTACTAGCTGCTAGGAATTATATGACATTATGCTAGCTAACTGAACTTTGAAGGTGGAGGAGGTTAAGCAATGTCAATGGTACTGTTTGGAAGCATTGGTCAATTTTCTTTCCCCTTCCCTGATTGTTTTATTTGAAAGCTGATAAAATTGTTACCAAATGAAGCTTAAAGACATAATCTGGTAGAGCAAAGCTCTTGTATAATTCAGCTTGGTACATAGGAGATGCAACATGGGAGGAAGAACTCTGTACATGAATACGTGCTGGGGGCCACCCTGCTGGAAAGCACCTGGGGTCCTGGTGAACAGCAGGCTGAACGTGAGCCAGCGACGTGCCGTTGTGGCAGAGGTAGCTAATGGTATTCTGGACTGCGTGAGGCAAAGCATTGCCAGCAGGTCGAGGGGATCTTTCCCCTCTACTCGGTGCTGGTGAGGCCATGCCTGGAATACCGTGTACAGTTCTGGGCTCCCCAGTACAACAGAGACATGGACATACCAGAGAGAGTCCAGTGAAGGCACCACAAAGATGATGAAGGGACTAGAGCATCTCTTCTCTGAGGAAAGTCTGGGAGAGCTGGAACTGCTCAACCTGGAGAAGAGAAGGCTCAGGAGAATCTTACCGACGTGTATAAATGCCTGAAGGAAGAGTGTAAAGAAGACAAAACCAGGCTCTTTTCAGTGGTGCCCAGTAACAGGACAAAAGGCAGTGAGCACAAACTGAAACACAGGAGGTTCTCTCTGAACAGCAGGAAACACATTTTTACTGTGAGCACTGACACAGGTTGCCCAAAGAGGTTGTGTGGTCTCCATCATCGGAGATACTCAAAAGCCATCTGGATGTGGTCCTGGGCAACTGGCTCTTGGTGGTCCTGCTTGAGCGCAAGGATTGAACGGGTTGATCTCCAGAGGTCTCTTGCTACCTCAACCTTTTCGTGATACTGTGAAATACAGCTTTTGTATTAACATTAGTGACAAGTTACCCTGCTGTCCAGTTTGTACCCTGTGTGCATACAAGTTTAAAGGGACAACTGCAGCAAAAGGAAACCAGTTCCCCAGGAAGATGTAATGGGAGACCATGCATGAGTGTATTATGCTTGTAGGGTAACTGCAACTTCTTTTAGAAAACATTGTTCCAGTATTTTTGAACAATAATAGCTACTGCAGAATGGTGCTACAGCCTTGCAAATGTGTAACTGTTCTGTATTGAAGAGCATGCTGTCGTGACTGTACTATTTTTGGTACCCAAGCTCATTAATCCAAACTTCACTTACGGTGAAACTCATGTAAATACTCTTTTTTTTTTTTACTCTGCTGTGTAGGAAAACAATACATCTGTTCAGCATTAAGTATTATGAGGCCTTGTCATAGGCGAGGTTTGGTGGGACATCTTTACTATGTAATGTGGTGTTTACTGACAGCATTGACCCAGCATCTTGATTTGTGAGAGCAGCAGAGTGTCAAAAGAGGATGAAGCACTTTGCTGTTTGCCTATGTGATAAACTTTTTTTTTTGCTAATGAAGACATGTAATGGGCTGTCCTGATGGCTGTGATCTGTACAGGTTTTTTCCATGTTATTATGGTGAACTGAACTTTTTGTATACTAGCAAAAGTCTTGTGTTGTAAAATACATTTGAAGTAATTAAAGACTTGATCCTTGTAATCAAGAAGTGAAGTGTCATTCTGGATCTGACACCTTAATTTCTCCGTCATGCAGATGTAACTGTTCTGTAAAGGTATGGAGAGCGAGCTGCTTTTGCTAAGAGATGTAAAGAAAAAAGGTGATTAGATGGGGTAAGCACTAAGTAAATTAAGAGCAAAGATGAAAACAACCCTGGATCATACCATCTCTATTCATTTGCACAGATAACAAGAGTGAGGCCAAAAGGAGACGGACAGAGAGAGTTAAGCGAGAGAAGATAAATTCTGCAGTAAATAAAGACTTAGAAAACCGAAAAAGATCCAGGTCTAACAGCCACTCAGATCATAGCAGACGGGGAAGAGGACGACCTAAGAGTGCCTCAGCAAAAAAGCACGACGAAGAAAGAGGTACTCTTGCTACTTGACTCATGTAAATGTTGTGAGAACTGGAAAAATATGTTCATTGGGTTTTCTTTTTGTATGAAGATTTTTTTAATCAGTAGACCTTTATGCTGTTCAAACCAGTTAAGTAGCTAGACTAGTTCAGTCAATATCCAGTATCTTAATATGGGGAAGGGGTTGTTTCACATCTGTAGACCTCTGGTTTTATGTTTCAGTGTCTGGTTGGAACTAACTGCAAAGAACTAAGACTGTATTTTTAGCCACCAGATCAAGTTTCAACATGTAAGTTGAAAGCCATTGAACTCTAGTGCTTAGTAGGTTTTTTGGCTTGGATTTGTTTAATTTTTTTGAGGTACCACTGCTCTATATCACAAGGACAAACAATATAATGATACCTGTTATCAGAGAGTGATTAAGATGATTGGATTTCTTTAAAAGTTCCTTGAAACCTTTTGGAGGGCCAAAGTAAAGAGGGTATCCTGAGTCACTACTATGACCTGGGTTTTTGTCCCATGTTTCTATAGAATTAAGCTCTAGAGGAAAGAATGCCTTCTTGCTTATTAAGGTTCCTTGGTGACCTGCTGTTCTTGCTCTTTATATAATAAAGAGACTGTTACACACACTAGAGTAATTTTGTAGCCCTTCAAGTGTGTGACTGTCACTTAAGATTCCTGTCTTCTTAAGAGCCTATTGACACTGCGTTTGCTCTCTGTGGTTTTGGAGATACTAGTTTTGGGCCTGAATAATTAATCCAAAACCTAGCATAGACTTAAAAGGCAGATGGGAGAGGAAGAACAAGATTTCATGTAAGTATGCAGAAGATCTTGTTCTTAAAACTACTGAAACTATCAAGCATACCTTGTGGCATAACTTGGAAATGTATTTTTTTTTTCCCCTGCCACCTTATTTTTTAACAAAAATGGGTATTAATGAATGTTGCAGAGTTCCTTTAACTTCTAACTTTTCAAAATCAATTTTGTTGTCTTTGCTGTTTAATGTAAATCTGTTTCTCTCCTATAAAAAAACAAAGTATAAATTGGTATTTTGTTGGTTTAGTTTTAGTACTTTTCTGTGGAAGGAGATGGAATTGGATTTCTATATGTTTTCTGGATGGCAATTGCTTTAATGTAATAGGAATGCACTTACAATATCTAATCTCTTCACTTGTGGCTTATCTATGTATGTAGCTTCACACAATATAGAGCTTCCCTATTTGTTACTGATCCACACTAGACTTTGTCTAGCACCTGTAGGATCATTTCTAGGCATTTTACTGCCAGTCTAGTTCACACACAGGTTTGGTTTGAAAATTCCTGCAAGCTTGTTGGGTTGCCCTAAAAAAGTAAACCTTCTTTTCTATCCCCTGAAAAAGAGGAAAGCAATAAAAAAAAAAATCTATTCTCTTAATGCATGTTTTAAAGTCTCCAAGAAGCAAGAATTTTAAAGTATGAGGGATATTTAGAGAACATCTTTTCCTGTCCAAAACTAGGCTGAATGTTTTAACGTCTTGCTGCATACTGCGCAGTGTGACAATATGCCAGTGCTCTGAGGTAGAAAACTAGAAAAATGGATGTAGTGAGATGTTTGCATAAGAGAGTGTGTGGTGTGTTGTTTTCTTGGGTTTTTTGTGGTTTTTTTTAAAGTTGAACCTCACTTGAGAAGATTGCCTTCACCTTCTTGTCCTGTCCTATCATCAGCTTTACTTGCTACTGTGACTAATGGTACTGTTTCTTCCTCAGCCTCTTCTGCAGAGCTGGTGTAGAGCTTGGGTTCACACCCATTTGTAATTAATCTTTGCTCCTCACCAGTACAGCACACCTTATTGGTTAGGAGTATGTGGGTTTAGGATATTTTCTTACTTCTGATTTATTTCAGGTTATGTCAGACTCTAATGTGTGTAGAATATTGTGGTGAATATTGGGCAGATTTAAAAAAAAAAGAGGTTTATATATATATATATATGCATGCAGAGGACCCATAATTTTGTAAGTAATTACTATAAAACAAGTTAACGTTGACCTCTGCCTTTTCAAGTGGCTTATAAAATTGGCCTAACTACTGTGTATGGAGTAATTAGTGGGGAATTTTAGAAATATTTTTCCTTTACCAAACCTGCTGCTTGATAGTGTTGTTTGTGTAAAAGCACATTAAGCAACTTAAATTCTTCTACACCATTAAGGTGATTTTTGAGTGACTCATTGCTAGTCGTTGTATCAGACTGGGTAGTTTTAAAAGTCAGCTCTGGAGTGCAAGGCATTAGCGTAGTGTCAGACTTTAAGTATATTATTTCCTTGACTACTGTATATTTCTAAGATATTTTGGGTGCATGTTACTTGCCACTAGAGATTGTGCTATTCTTCTTTCTTGCAAAAGACTTGGAGAGGCCACTGCTTGCAAAGCTGTTAAATATTCGGTGCCTCTTGGCCTCTGCAGTGCCTAATGCAGTTGTAGATTAAAAACATCTACAGAGATGTTTTCTTTACAGGACAGAACACCTGAATTATAACAGCATGCAAAAGCAAATAATCTGTCCATTTGAAGACCACCCAGCTGTGAAAACTTTCTTCCTAAAGACACCCAGGACATCTGTAGCTGTGCTTTCTTGTGTGGTGCTCTTTTCACACATAGCGTGCTTGTTCCCAGTTATGTCTCTGCTTTTTGACTAGTTCTTTTGTATCCTTCCTGACTGGTTCACATTAGAGCAAATTTCTGCAGGACACAACAGCAATTAAGAAGGTTAGGAGAAGCAAAAGGGCCTTTAAAAATAAGCTGGTTTTTCTGCAGATTTAGTAAGAAGGAATGGAGGGGGAGGAAGGAGAAAGCTGATGTGGATTGAGGGGACATGGTGGAGTGATGCACCCAGAGAACATTCCTCTCGCATGTTTGAGCTGTGTGATGACCGTGGAAAACAGGAACTTCTCACTGCAGGCTTGGCTTGTCAAAATTGGCAATTTCTTTGTCAGAAATGCTACAATATGTTTTGAAAATAGAAAATTCATAATAATCTGATTCTGATTGTTGTGGTGGTATGTTTTTTATTTTACTGTGTGGGGCTGTGATACACAGCTAGACAGGTTCCCAGGCTGCCTTGTTGCCTAGGTAACAATCTTGATTATATTAAAACAAACAAAAAGCCCTCCTATGCTGGAGGAAGTGGTGCTGGTTATTGTGCTCCTGAAAGAGGTCAAGTGAAACTCAGAGTGGTCTGGAGTGTTACTAAATCATACTTGATACTTAGCAAGGGGTGAATCTTTACAAAGATCTATACGTTTCAGTATCCCTGTAAAACTTAAGCAGAGTAAATTTCTTGACCCAAGCTTTCTTTTTCCAGTAATTTTCAACTGTATTACTCATACATTTGCTTGCCCAATGTGCGGATTTGAAGTATTTTACTATCTTAGTGAATCTCAGAACTTTGGATTTTGAATCCATACAGAATTTGTGAGGGAGGAGGGTCTATATTTGATGTATGCATAAATCACGATTTTAAGGGCTGTGGGTGTAGCGGGTTGGAGGAGATCTGGGGATGTGAGAGACGTGCTACAGAAAGACTGAGTATTTTCACCTAAATAGCCTCTTAGTTGTATATCAAAAACTTAGTCTATTTAACATCTTACAAAAGCGATATTGTGATTCTGTAAGACGGGGCTGGGGAGAAGTATTTTTAGTTTTTCTGTGTGCTAACACGTTCAGGTTATGGCTGGATTTGTTTGTATTGGGAATTATGAAAAAAGGGGAAGGGTTTAGATACGAAAATACAAAAGGTTAATGTGGAATAACCAGTGTGCGTAGTGTCTGTGCTCAGAACAACTCCCAGTACTGTTAATTTGTAAATGGTGGGAGGAAGTGGAGCAACCCAGACTGAGTGTAGATATAGAAACTGGTCTGTCTTAAACTACAGGGTAGGACTTCAGCAAAACAGTTTCTCAGCTTTCATTTCAAACTCAATACACTAGAGAATAGTGCATAGTCTTGCATAGCCAGGGAATAAGCAGAAATCACTTACATTCCATATATGAAACGTGCTTTGATTTGCTTTACTTTCAGACTAAAAACTGATGCACCTTTTTGTGTCCAGGCTCCTCACTAAGCAATTTTACTTGCTGGTAAAGGTGAGCTTTTGTGTGATTTAAGTTGTCTAGAAATCTTTAAGTAGAGGGGTTTATTGCTGTGTGTCTCTGTCAATATTAAATCAGAACACAGTGGTAAAGGATTTTTCAGTTTCTCTCACTTAGTTGTTTGACACGAGCACTTGACTTCACAGGGAAGGCAGTCTGGAATGGTGTCTGTAGCTGTAACAGACAATCAGATGTGAAGTCAAATCTAAAAATGCTGTTATGAATGTGGACTTATTGAAGGAAAGACCATGTGAGTAGGTGGAGCCAGGAGGCGCTGGGATCTTTTTTCCACATGGTGTTTTCCATTAGTTTTCAATGCTGCTTTGTATTTCACCTGCCTGTTGCTGATTTAGGTGTTTTGGTGGAGCAGTCTGCCAGTGTGCTGTGCTCAAAAAGAGTGTGCATGAGTGTGTCTGTTAATGAGACAGAGGGGTCTGTCAGGTGAGTGTTGTGACTGTCCAGGCCACTGTAGAACTTGGATTAGAGATGGAGATCCACAGCTAGACGCCAACCTTAAAGCTCTGTGTGTATTCCTTTCTTCTTTGTCTACAAGCTTGGTCTTCCGCTGACAAAGCTGGGGGTTTTTTGTTTGGTTGGTTTTTTTTCCCCTTAACGAATTGTGTCAGCTGCTTGTGACTAGCTAAACTGGGATTTATAGTAGTGATCTGGACTAAGTGGTATTTGTGAAAGTACTATTCTATTAGTTTTATCACATGCTGTAGTGTACTTGAGCACTGCAATATGGAAACTTATTGACGGCTTGCTGTTGTGTATCTGTAGCCTTGAAAGAAGCCAATATGAGCAGAGGGAATTCAGAGGCTCACTGAGATGTTAGCACAGTTCTCTGTCTGGGATAAGAATGAAAGCCTGCTGTATAGAAAGTCCTGAAATGTTCGTTGTGACAAATTGGGAACCTGACTTCTGCCATGTATCTGCTCTCTGGTCTTGGACACTGTAATTAAACTCTTGGGTTTATGTTACTTAGATGTATAATAGGAAGACAAATGTTGTATTTAATGAGGATATGATGAATCATCTTTGTTTTCTTGGATGGGAAGTGTTTATGCAAAAGCAAAAAAAACCCCCCAAAACTGGAGGAACACTTGAATGCTCTTTTGTGTCAGGAATCAATGTAATGTTAGTGACTCATTCTTTCCTTGTCATTAAAGAACAGAAATTCAGTCATGCTTTTGGATGACTAATTCAGTAACTCTTGTAGCACCTTTGCCTGCATTCCTTCCTCCTCTCTTTCAATCCCTCCCTGCACAGGAGTTGGTTGTCTAACTTCTTTTCAATTCCAGTACTCCATTCCACATAATTTATTAACCACTATGTAACTTGCATTAACTTTGAATAATAGAAAAAGCTTCTAATAGTGACTTTTTTTTCTTCTACAGAGAAACAAGAAAAAGAAGTTGACATGTATGCTAACCTTTCAGATGAAAAGGCCTTCGTATTTTCAGTGGCCTTGGCGGAAATAAACAGAAAAATTATCAATCAAAGACTTATTCTGTGACTTGTAAGCACAGTCTGATGCATTTACATGCAGAATGGCTAGCGTATTTCCAAGGTGTCGTGGACTCTCGGGAAGTGTGTTGTCTGCACCGACAAGAACCATAGTATTTCCTCTTAAAATTCTGCTACTGTTCTTGGAAATCAAATTCTGTTTCTACAAGTCAGAAAAAGTGTTCACAAGATTGTGCTGTGAAAAATCAGAAGGCAGATATGTTTTACACCTTGAAGACAAATGCTAGACAAATGCACAGAGAGACTGCACTCATTCCAGAGCACTTCTTTTAAATTTGTTGCCAGAAATGCAATATTTTAAATATTTTCAGAAATAAATGATTTTCCTTTAAAATTATATATTTCAGATTTTTTCAGCTATATTGCAGTTTATGTATGTACAGTTCACATAACTTTTTAATAAATTGATATTCCAATATTTTATTGAACTGAGAATTCGGTACATTTGTGATACTTAGGGTGTGTTGGCTTTATTCCTCTTAGAAATCTGGTATTCATCCTAGGGATGACTTCAGATTTGCATTTTTTTAATAGATGTGATATGATTTTGATAGGGAGAAAATTAAAGTGGTTTCATTTGGGTGGATTATTCTGCTTGACAACTTGAATTGTGTATGAATTCTCTCTAGAAAATTATTCCTTGTTACATAGAGTTGTTTTTTAAAAATCACATATACTCTTTGGGGTCAGACTCCTGAAGTTTGAGAGCTAAGCACTTGTTTTGTAACCACTGTTTGCTGGTGGTTTGTGCTGCTGCTTTGTCCAGATGGTAAGTACTTCCATTCTCTTTCTTGGCCCATCATTTACTGGAGAGGGAGAGAAGCAGGCATCAGAGATGTAGATTTGCAGCCAGCATGTTTTTACTGGTATTTTTAAAAGATGAGGATATGCTAGTTCCATTTACTCTCGACAGCTTTTTTTGTCTCTTTTAAAAGTGTAATTGTTAGCAGGATTGTCTTTGGACTGTTGACTGTAAATATCACAGCAAAAGTCTACCTGAGCGTGCAAAAATGAGCTGTTCTGGTAGAAGTAGGTTTGGGGAAAACATTGAACAAGGTCATCTTTGTTACAGTGGTATAGTGCAATTTGAGCCAGAACTCTTAGATTAGTTAATATATGGGGATTTTGTCTTACAAAAAAAAAAAAAAGCTCAAGCCCTGTAAAATTCTGAGGAAGGAGGTGTAGGAGGCAATTGCATTCATAAAATCTGACACACTAGCTTGTTGTCACCTTTCATTCACTCTTTTCTAAGAAGGGGAATGCAACTAAATGTCTTAGTTTTACTTTAGTATTACTCATGCTTTTCAGTCTCAAATTACTTTAATAGTGAGAATTACCTAATGAAGTTCTGCTACAGAACTGATGTCTGGTTGAAACAGAGATTTTTATTAATAAAGTTAGACTATCAAATCCTGACTGTTTATTAGTTATTGGTTAAAGGAAGGAGGAGCTGTGATAGTTTTGGTTTAAGCTACAATGGACTGATCAGATGCAAGCTTTGTAAGCAGAAGCAGGCAACATGGAAAGTGATTTTAATTCTTAACTCCTAAGGAGAAATTGGAGTTGTTTTTAACACTGGATGAGAGGGATGGGTGTGGAAATGCAGTTAAACCACTAATCTGCATTTATCTTTATTCCAGTAAATGAGGAATTGCGAACACAAGACCTACTTCCCTTCATCATGTAGACTTCTGCTTTCCAGAACTGTAGCCTGTCACAGATACCAGTAGTAAGGACAGATGAGTAACTCTTAAGAATAGAGCATATGTTTGCATGGTAAGTTACTGAAGTTAGAATGACAAAAGGGAAGTTCTAATTTTGAAAAGTTAAGATATGATCAGGCTGTGTTGCTTCTATTGCTAGAATGAAATCTACTGTGTTAAGAAGGGACAAAGGGAACTACTAATGCAGTCGGTTTGGCAGTCTAACCTGCGTTCCTACAGGTATTTCTTTCTGCTCCTGTAAATGGAATTAAAGTTATCTTCAGAGGAGTGAAGTTAATGTTAGAGGTGACAAAAGTTAGCTTATGACTTTTACATTTAGATTGGTCCCTTCTCTGATAAGTACTGAAAAAGACATTAGTACCTCTCAAAAGCACAAGGCAATTTTTTCTTCTTCATTGATGGAGGCTCTGTTGAAACAGTGGTTGAGTTCTATTTCTGTACTACTTCCGTTTGTCTTCCCCAGGTCTCTGCTGACGGTTCTTTCCCACTTGTGGTCATGCTATTTTCCTTCCCCTCCTGGCTTCCAGTTTCTTCAAGAAAGCTGTGATGGAAGCAGGTGACCTTGAACATATCCTAGGGAGAGACTGCTGCTTTGCCAGTGGATCCTGCAAAGCAAGAGTCCTGACTTTCTCTTCCCACCAACCAGACACAAATAATTCTTTCCTGTATAGACAGGACACTTCAGCGTCTTCCAAAAGCACTGGTAATTCTGTGGCTGTGGTATGCTAAGACATAGGTTCCTCAGAACATACTCAGTGACTGAACTGGAAAGCATCTGTGTTGTATGAAATAGGCAGCAGCACAATGGCATCTCAAGAGCTCTTTCTTTGTGTGTTAGGGGTGATCAGTGGATGAAACATGGTGGCAAATCGTAGGTTATAGTTGTAAAATGTATTGGATTTCGATCTACAAAACTAAAATAAAGCCTGTGAAAGCTAAATGATAAGAGAGTAGAATTCTACGTACTGCAGCTCTGACATACTTGGAAACTGCATAGTTTCCAAGAAGCAGGAATAAATGTGTAACACTTCAGGAAGTTGCTTGTGCAAAATTTTTTTTGGTGACTCTAGTTCCAGTATAAGATTTTAGGCCCTGCCTTTGAATGCATTTATGGTTCAGTCTAACTTAATTTGTTCCACTGCATTTTATAGCATGAGACCTCACACAGAAAAATAGTCTTCTTTCAGAAAAAATAAATTAGGCTTCAGGTTTTTTAATTAACTAGAAAGAAGACCAAGTATATCACCACCACAAAAATACCACTCCAGCTCTATACCACTTCTACATGTTGACTTACCTGACTGGATAAACTTGATGTTGTGAATAGTCTAGGATTGTACTGGAGAACTACCTGTTTATAATCCACCATCTAGCAAGCTCTGCTTTCTGACACTTCTTTCCCCTTTTTTTCTGAAGAACTGTGCTTCCATTGTTTATATCTCCGCGTAATAGCATGTTAACCATCAGGCAGATTCACAGTTCATATTCTGGCTTGACATTTCCCTGCATTTACTGTTTTCTGCTACTAGATGGCAGCCTTATTCTAAAGACAGTTACTGTCTGTTCAAGCATTCTTACTATTGATACTAGGAAGAGCATAGTATTCTGTTTTCGGTGAAAGTACACGGAAAGATTATTTTTATGTAGAACATCACTCATCTCTAACTTGGGAGACTAAAATCCTGCTAATGGATGTTAGTGGCTGCACTGAAAGTAGATGGCTTCAGCAGCTGGGTGGGATGTTAGCTTGAGCAGTGAAAATTGATAGAGATTAATAATTTGTCAAGACCAAAGAACTCAATTGGTAATTTAATAAAAAATGGTTTAAGGAAACTCTTCTTCATCTCCCCTGGAAGTCCTATATATGTAAGTTTTCTTTGGTCAAATTTTATAAACATCTCTAATTTTCCTGTTGTTTTTGCTCTAATACTGTTATGATTGATTAAAAAAAGTTGAAAATGGGGCAAGGTATTGGGGAGTTATCATCACCCTGTGGTTAGGTAGCATGATATACAGAGAGGGAGACTAGAATTGAGGTATTTGCTTCAAATATCAGGTCCTAAACAAGGTCTTTGAGTTGGTTTTACTTGATGCTTTTTATTTTTTGAGGGTTTTTTGTTTGTTTGGTTGGTTGGTTTTTTTTAGTGAAACAGTAATTCATGTAGGCCACTACCAGTGCTGTGTCTTCCTTGTATCTTGGACTGTACTGTCAAGGATATCTAGTATCTTATTGCCTAACAGGACATGATGTTTGACTTTTGTTCTTTAAGATACTGATAACCTTTAAGGTATTGATAACCTGTGATTAAACATTGTAACCAGAAAGCTGTATTAAACTACTCTTTAGTTTAAGCCTTTCTGAGTTGCTGTTCCACAGACTTCAATTCCTCTGCATGCATGAACACCTGCAGGTATTGCTGGTGTCCTGTTTTCTATCTCTAGGTGCAGCTGTGCAAGGGTTTTTGTTTGGACTAGGAGTGTGTGTTTGAAACAAATCTTGTGATAGTTTCTATTTCCAGTGCTTATGTTTGCATCCTGGAGTGGTCTTGGGGAGCAGCATGTAGGTTCCTTTTACAAAAAACTGACCTTGAAGATGTCCTTCAACTGTTAGTGGGTGCTTGGTCTGCAGGACCAGGTCTTCCCGTAGCAGATGTTGGGCTCTCAGTACCAACTGTTTCACTCTACAGATTTCCTGTTGTGCCTCACTTATTGCTTATGAAAATAACAGCAGAGCAAATGTTAACAAACTTAACCAGCACTTTCAGGTGAGTTGTTATCCTTCAAAGTATTAACAATGTCATCAGTGTTTTGTAGCAGGTTCCTACTTTTTTATTTCTCTCTGCATTCTGACAGATATCCTCTAGCAAATCTAACTGTAGCATTTCAAGATGTTGCTTTCCCCAGTTGCTTGCCTGCCCTTTTTGGAGGTTGACACTTAGGTAGCAGTGATGGTAGAACAGCTCTAGTAAGTAGAAAAATAATAATAATAGTAGTATTTTTTTTTTCTCTTTTAGGCTGTCACTTTCAAAACTCACTATTAGAGAGTCTGGCTGCCTCAAAGTTACATCTGATTAAGCAGTTTTTCCTGTTGAGATGAAGATGATCAATTTTGCTGCCTTATGGTTGATCAGACACTACAGAAATACACTGCATGATTTCAATAGATACTGTGAATTCATAATGAACTGGAAGTGTCTGTAAATTAATGTACTAGAGTGGGTTTTTTTCTGTTCTTACTTCAAAAAGGGCTGCTCATAGCTGCTAGCTGTTGAATGGGATGTGCAATCTAAGTAAAAAGCAAGAAATTGATTAGGCAGTGGAAGGCAGTGAAAATAGATAAATCTCTATTTTTTTTCTCCAGAAGAAAACAAAACCTGCTTTCACTGAAGTTGTTTAATTTCAACTCAAAGCATGATTCTCATGAATCATTTGGTGTCATCATGCAGCACAGCCCCCAGGACAAAAGTCAGGTACCTCTCCCTACCCCCCACAAGCTCTTTTTCTTGGTGCTTCTTAGCTTTGTACATAAAACACAAACTCTGTCTTATAAAAGTTAGTTTACTGCCTTTGGTCTCCTACTATGCATTATTTCTCTCAGTCATAACTTAGTCTTCAATTTTGTCATAAGGGTTAAGAAATAAATGCTATTTTTAATCCTGGACAGTGTTGAAGAGCATAAAATGCTGTTAAGAAC